AGAAAATTTCCGTCATCTTAAGACAAATAGCAGAATACGAATAGTTTTGTGGTCTTAGCTTTGGTAGTGAGCCGAATTCGATTTTAGCTAGATTAGATGTGCCTGTTAGCTCTGTAGCTGTTCTACAGCTCGAATTAAGAAAAGTAGCCGACAGCACTTGCCAAGATGACACAAAACAGCCGATGCCGTCTGAGTGCTTGTGGACAGGAAAATGTGCCCGGTCCACCTCATATTGTGATGGCGAGCAGGAATGAGATCGAATATGGATAGAAAAAAAGAATTGGAGTTCTAATGAATGTTTAAAGTTCAAGATCATGATTTTCAATAGGTCATGCAATGACAGAACTTCCGTCAATCTTTCTCGGGCCAACTAGCCCGCTGCCGCGCCGGAACTGGGATCCGGCGGTGAACCATCAACCAGGTTCCGCCGGGGCCCTCGTAGAGCTCTGAACCTGCGTGCGAGTGCTTAGAGTGCAAGAGGAAAGCTCTCTTGAGTATCAGCTTAATGCAAAACATGTTTTTTTTTTCCGGTTTTATACGACGTCAGCTCCGCCAAATGTTGTGATAGTAGTACTGGAGCTACAGACCTGAGAGCTGGGGGCTGGCGGTGAAACCGTGAACCTCGGTTGCCGCCGGGAACTCGTAGAGCTTCCTTGCGACGTGCATGAACAGCATGCGGGCGCGGCAATCTCGCATTCCGCGCGCGCAAGGGCGCGGTTTCATGGGGGGGGGGGGGGGGGGGGGGGGTGGAGGAGAAGAAGGAGTGGGGGAAGAAGGAGGTGGAGGAGGCTAAGGAAGAGAAGGAGGAGGAGAAGACGGAGCAGGAGAGGGGGAAGGGGCGGGAGATGGAGGGGGAGACGATGGCGAGCAGGAGAAGCGGAAACATCGAGGGGGGTGATGATGAGGGGGGGGGGGAGAAGGAGGAGAAGGAGGAAGGGGGAGAGAACGAGGAGGAGGAAAAAGAGGCGAAGGAACAGATGAAGGCGGTTGAGAAGGAGAAGGAGGAGTAGGAGCAGAATGAAGAGGAGGAAAAGGAGAAAGAGGAGCAGTAGCAGATGAAGGCGGAAGTGAAGGAGAAGGAGGAGAAGAAGGAGAAAGACGAGGAGGAGGAGGAGCAGATGGAGGAGGTGAAGGGGAGGAGGCAGAGCAGGGGGGAAGTGGAAGGAGGCGAAGGATCATAATAAGCAAATTAGGGATGAGGAGCAGGAGGAGGAGGAGAGGAATGCGGAGACGTCTCGATACTGTAGGCGAATCTACTTGGTCACCTTCTGCGTCGAAATGCTTTTCGGCTCCAAAGCCAGCTTGCAGCTTGAATGAAGTAGAGAAAACTATCATTATCCCTTAACAAACTAGGAGAGTACGGGCAGTTTTTTGGTTCCAGCTCTGGCAGACCGCGTTCAGACATCTAGATGCTTCTAGCGTTCCTGTTGATTTGCTTTCGATTTGTGATGAACAGCTCTGTAGCTCATCTGCAGCTCGATTGAAGTTAAGAAGTTCGTAATCATCAACGCATAGCAGAGTGCCGATAGTAGTCTTGGTTCTAGCTTTGTTTTGATTCTAGCTTTGGTGCTTTGGTTCTAGCTTTCGTAGTGAAACGAGACTCGTGCTCCTGATGAGTTCCTTCCGATTGCTGTGTCAAGCAGCTCTGTAGCTCATCCGCAGCTCGAATTACATCGAGCAAGTCATCATCATCTCTTAACAAATGAGCAGAGTACGAACAGGTGTGTGTTTCGAGCTCTGGTTGCAGACCGAGTTCGGGCATCTGGATACTTGAGATTAGCGCTCCTGATGATGCTCTCTCGATTGCTGTGGCGAAAAGCTGTGTAACTCATCTGCACCTCGAGTTCAGCCGATAAGATCATCGTCATCTGGAGAAAACAAGCAGAGTACGGATAGGTTTTTTGGTTCTAGCTCTGGTAGTGGACCGAGTTCTGCCACTAAGATACTTGAGACTAGCGCTCGTGATGGTTCTCTTTCGATTGCTGTGCCGAGCAGCTCTGTAGCTCATCTGCAGCTCGAGGTGCGGTAAGAAAATCATCATCGTCTACAAGATCAGCAGAGTACGAATAGTTTTGTGGTCTTGGCTCTGGTAGGTGGACCGAGTTCGGCCATCTAGATACTTGAGACTAGCGCTTCTGATTGGTCTCTTTGAATTAGTGTGCCGAACAACTCTGTAGCTCATCTGCAGCTCGAGCTAGGGTGAGAAAATCATCATCATCATCTTAAAAAAGAGTAAAGTACGAACAGTTTGTCGGTCTTAGCTCTGGAAGCAGACCTAGTTCGGACATCTCGATACTGGAGACTAGCGCGCCTGATGATTCTGGATAGATTAGGTGTGCGTGTCAGCTCTGTAGCTCTTTCACAGCTCGAGTGCAGTTCAGAAAACAGAGCACCTGCCAAGATGACGCAAGACAGCCGATCCCGCCTGAGTGTTTTTTGACAGTAATGTGTACCCGATCGACGTGATATTTAGATGGTGAGCGGGAATAATATCGAATATGGGGGAAAATATGAGATCTCTAACGACCTTGCAAATTTTGAGAACATAGTTTCCAACCGATTAAAATAATGCAGAACTTCCGTCGAGATTTTTCGGGTCAACTGGCCCCCCAGCGCGCCGGAATTACTCTCTAGCTTCGCCGCTTCGCTAGTAGGGAAGCTCTGCGAGTCATTTGCCTGGCAGACTCGGCATGACCACTACAGGTGCGACGAATGCCAGTTCCCATGACGAACTGGGTGCCGGCGGTGAACTGTCAACCTTGATTGCCGCGAGGAACTCGTGGAGCTTCCTTGCAATTGGGGGCCGGCGGTGAACCGTCAACCTTGGTTGCCGCCGGGAACTCGCGGAGCTTCCTTGCGATGTATATGAATGGGGTGCGGGCGCGGCAATGCCGCATTCCGCGCGCGCGAGGGTGTGGTTTCATGGCGTGGGGGGGGAGAAGGAGTGAGGGGGGGAAGGAGATGGGGGGGGTGGCTGAGGAAGAGAAGGAGGGGGGGGAGACGGAGCAGGAGGAGGGGGAGGGGGAGGAGGAGGAGGATGACGAGCAGGAGGGGGAAGGGTGGATGGGGGAGACGAGGAGCGATGATGATGATGAAGAGGAGGATGAGGCGGAGGAGGAAGAGAAGGAGGAGGGGGAGGAGAAAGAGGATAATAGGTAGATGAAGCAGGAAGAGGAGGAGGAGGAGGAAGAGGAGGGGGGGCAGGGGGAGGGGGGGGGGGGGGAGGAGGGAGAAGAAGAAGGAGAAGGAGGACGCGGAGGAGGAGGGGAAGGGGGGGGGGGAGAAGGAGGAGGCGAAGCAGGAGGAGGAGGGAGAGAACGAGGAGGGGCAGGAGGAGGAGAAGGAGGAGAAGACGGGAGAACGAGGGGAAGGAAGAGGAGGAGGAGCAGCCTGCAGCTCAAATTTTGTACAGCGAACATGTTACCTCTTACCAAATGTTGCAGAGTGCTCTGGTGGCAGACCAATCTCAGACGTCTCGATACTCCAGGCGACGGTCTGATGATTCCCAGTTGAGCGGTGTGCGCTCCAGCTCCCTAGCTTGCTTATAAATTATGGCAGCAATCCAACGCCGTCTCTCATATTTCTGAAAGGCTGCAAATAATCATGTGGCTGCAGCTCTAGTAGTAGACCGATCTCAGGCGTCTAGACTGTAGACTGATTGATGCTTCGCACCATTCCCTGTCGATTGGCGTGCATCTCAGCTCCGTAGCTGGCCCAGAGCTCGAATTGGATTCAGGGGGCGCACATCGTTGCTGGTCAGTCGTAGCTGCGCTTGCAGGCCGAATTCAGACGTCTCGATATCGTTGGCGAATGTACCTGGTGACGTTCTGCTTCGAGAAGTGATCGTCTGCTTCTTAGCCAGCCTGAAGCTCGAATAAAGTAGAGAAAACTACCATCATCTCATCGAACATTTGCAGGGTGCGAACATTTTTTTGGGCCCAGCTCTGGTAGCTGACCGATCTCAGACATTTAGATACTTCGAACTCGCGCTCCTGATGATGTTGCCCGATTGCTGTGCCGAACAACTCTAAGCTCATCAGCAGCTCGAGTAACATCAAGAAAGGCATCCTCATCTCTGACAAATTAACAGAGTACGCGTAGATTTTCGTTCCGTCTCTGGTAGCATACCGAGTTCGGCCATTTAGATAGTTGAGATTCGTGCTCCTGATGAGTTCCTTCCGATTGCTGTGCCAAACAGCTCTGTAGCTCATCCGCAGCTCGAGTTACATCGACCAAGTCATCATCATCTCTTAACAGATTAGCAGAGTACGAACAGGTGTGTGGTTCTAGCTCTGGTGGCAGACCGAGTTCGGGCATCTGGATACTTGAGACTCGCGCTCCTGATGATTCCCTCTCGATTGCTGTGCCGAACAGCTCTGTAGCTCATCTGCAGCTCGAGTTAAGTTCAGAAAACCGACAGCACCTGCCGAGATGACACTGAACAGCCGATCCTGCCTGAGTGTTTTTTTGACAGTAATATGTACCCGATCGACTTGAGGTTAAGATGGCGAGCGGGAGTAATATCGAATATGGGGGAATAATATGAGAGGGCCAACGACCGTTCAAATTTCGAAAACATCATTTTCAACCGACCAAGATTTTGCAAAACTTCCGTCGATATTTTTCGGGCCAGCCAGCCCCCCAGCGCGCCGGAATTATTCTCTACCTTCGCCGCGTCGCTCTAAGGGGGCCTCTACGAGTCACATAGACGTCTCGATACCGCAGGCGAATGTACCTGGTGACGTTCTGCTTTGTGCAATGCTTCTCAGCTTCGCAGACAGCCTACATATCGTCTGCAGCTCGATTGAAGACAAGAACTCATCTTTTCTACACTTAGAAGAGTACGAAGGTTTTGCCTCGTAGAGCTCCTCGACGCCTCCTTCTCCTCGTCCTCTTCTTGCTCCTCATCCGCTCGACCTTTCCTGTTCTCCTGGGTCATTCTCTCTCCTTCCGCCTCCCGCGCTCTCTCCTCTTCTGCTCCGTCTTCCGCTCAAAATGCCAGTTGCCGTGCCTTGGTTGCCGCCGGGAACTCGTGGAGCTTCATTGCGATGCGCATGGGTCGCATGCGGGCGCGGCAATCTCGCATTCCGCGCGCGCAAGGGTGCAGTTTCATGGGGGGGGGGGGGGGCGCGCGGGGGGGAAAAAGGGGCGAGGAGAAGAAGGAGGTGAAGAGGCGAGGAAGAAGAGGAGAAGGAGAAGGCGGAGCAGGAGAGGGGGAAAGAGCGGGGGGAGGGGGGAGAGGCGATGACGAGCAGAAGAAGCGGAAATATCGAGGGGGATGATGATGAGCAGGAGGAGGAGAAGGAGGAGGAGGAAGGGGGCTGCAAGGAGGAGGAGGAAAAGAAGGAAGAGGAGGAAAAAGAGGAGAAGGAGCAGGTGCAGGCGCAAGAGAAGGAAAAAAACAAGTAGGGGAAGAAAGAGGGGAAGGAGACGGAGAAAGAGGAAAAGGAGCATATGAAGGCGAAAAAGAGGAGAAGGAGGAGGAGAAGGAGAAAGACGAGGAGGAGGAGCAGGAGGAGGAGGCAAAGGGGAGGAGGCAGAGCAGGAGGGGAAGTGGAAGGAGGAGAAGGAGAAGAGGAAACAAAGAAGGAGGATAAACAGAATGAGAGGAGGAGAGGAAGGAAAAGGCGTATCGATACCGTAGGCGAATTTACTTGGTCACCTTCTGCTTCGACATGCTTTTCTGCTCCAGAGCCAGCCTGCACGTCGAAAAATGTAGAGGAAGCTATCATTATCTTTTAAAGCTGGGAGCCGGCGGTAAACCGTCAATCAAACACGCAAATCAGCGCCCAGATAACGAGGAGAGAGAGTTCTCGAGTGTCAGCTTCAAAACTCGCAACATTTTTTTTAGGTTTTATACGACGTCGGTTCCTCTTAGTGTTTTGATCCGAGATACTGCGCCTACGGCGCTAAGAATTGCACCATGAAGCGCGCCATGATCGCTTGCAGGGAATAAAAATCTGGGTTTCCAAAGCGAATGTTCAAGTCTCTCACAATCTCCCAAAAACCGACGCCAGGTCACCACATTGTCCGCCCGGGCCGGGTGGGCCAACTAGCTGCACCCCGCGCCGGAATTCCTCTAGCTCATCGGTGCCGAAGAGCTCTACGAGGTATTTTGAAGCCGGTGTGGAAAATCCTGGACCTAGTTTGCCTCCGAAGCCTTCTAGAGCATTTTTCGATGCCCCGGAGCGCACAAGAAAGATGGGTGTGGGCACGGGTGTGGGTGGGACGTGGGTGTGAGCGTGGGCGTGGGCGTTGGCGGTGGGCGTGGGTGTTGGTGCCGGTGTGGGTGTGGGTGTGGGTGTGGGTGTGGGTGTGAGCGTGGGCGTTTGCGTGGGTGTGGGCGTGGGCCTGGGTGTGGGTGTGGGCTTTGGCGCTGGTGTGAACGTGGGCGTGGGCTTGGGCGTGGGCCTGGGCGTGGGCGCGGGAGTTGGCGTGGGCGTGGGCGCGGGAGTGGGCGTGGGCGTGGGCGTGGTCGCCGGCGTGGGCGTTGGTGTGGGCGTGGGCGTGGGCGCGTGCGTGGGCGCGGGTGTGGGTGTGGGCGTGCGTGTGAGCGTTGGCGTGAGCGTGGGCGTCGGCGTGGGCGTGTGTGGGCTTGGGCGTGGGTGTGGGTGCGGGTAGGGCGTTGGCGTTGGCGTTGGCGTGGTCGTGGGCGTGGCGGCGTGGGCGTGGGCGTGGGCGTGGGCGTGGGCGTGGGTGTGGGCATTGGTGTAAGTGTCGGCGTGGGTGTGGGCGTGGGCGTTGGCGCGGGCGTAAGGGCGGGTGTGGGTAGGAGTGGGGTATAGGTGTGGGTGTGGGTTTGGGTGTGGGCGTGGGTGTGGGCGTGGGCGTGGGCTTGGGTTCGGGCGTGGGCGGCGGTATGGCCCCAGGGCTGGAAAAGATGAACTTCTAATTTGTTGTCCATTGCAATGTGTCCGTGTTTCCGTCTACGGGGGATGAACGCGAAGCGGGCCCCACCCACTGCTTCTATGTTTTCTTGAAGTTTGAGTGTCCCCACCAACCCACCCAGAATCGATCCCCAGGGGGCGCGTGTGTCAGGGCATTGTGGCAGTATGCGTTGCAATAGACGGAAAAAAAAGCCAAGCTGAAACTCATGATCAACATGAGCAAGTCCGGGCATAAATCATTGAGATGCCTGCGGCAAATGAGACCACCGTTCCAGCCCAGATCCTTGGGTCGCGACATATCGGGGGGCGCTCGTGGGGGCCCGTAGCGTGTGACACCTCGTGCCCCGAGGCTTGGGAGAGCCGGAACATGTGACGCATTCTTCCGCGTCGTGTCCAGGATTCTCTTCCAGTCTTCGTCGGCCCCCTCCATTTCTTCAGTCCCTGCTTGGGCTGTGGGCCAGTCTTGGGGGAGTCTTGGGCCACTTTGGGTTTTTTCGGGGCCCTTTGTGGCCGTCCCGCGGCCCTCTGGCCGTCGTGGGGGGTCTCTTGAGGCCGGCGCGGGCCCGTATTCGGGCCGTCTTGGGCCGTTGAGGGGGGCTCTGATAAAAAGGCTGCCTTGGGTCCGTCAGGTGTCCCTCTTGGGCCAGCCTGGGGTTCTTGTGGGGGCCGCCTGGGGCCGACTAGGGTCCCCTTCTCGTGTTGCGTCGAGGTCGGGTTCTTGGGGCGATTTTGAGGCCCTCTGGGGCCGTCTGTGGCCCATATTGGAGGCCTCGAGGGCCGTCGGGGGCGGAAGGAAACCCGAAAATGTGAAAACGCTGACATATTTCAATTATCCCAGTGCGACCCTACCTAGGAGTTGGAACCCCTAGGAAAGCAGCATTAGTATAACAGTAACGCTAAGCTAAAGCTAAGCTAAAGCTAAGGTAAAGCTAAGCTAAAGCTAAGCTAAAGCTAAGCTAAAGCTAAGCCACAGCTAAGCTACAGTTAAGCTAAAGCTAAGCTAAAGCTAAGCTGAAGCTAAGCTACAGCTAAGCTACAGCTAAGCTAAAGCTAAGCTAAAGCTGAGCAACAGCTAAGCTAAATCTAAGCTACAGCTAAGCTAAAGCTAAGCTAAAGCTCAGCTAAAGCTAAGCTAAAGCTAAGCTAAATCTAAGCTAAAGCTAAAGCTAAGCTAAAGCTAAGCTCGAGCTAAGCTGAAGCTAAGCTACAGCTAAGCTCAAGCTAAGCTAAAGCTAAGCTAAAGCTAAGCTAAAGCTAAGCTAAAGCTAGGCTAAATGCTAAGCGAAAAGCTAAGCGAAACGCTAAGCTAAAGCTAAGCTACAGCTAAGCTAAGCTAAGCTAAGCTAAAGCTAAAGCTAAAGCTAAAGCTAAAGCTAAAGCTAAAGCTAAAGCTCCCAGGGGACTGGGGGGTACCCCGCCCAGGGGACTGTGGGAACCGCCCGGCCCCTTTAAGCTAAGAGAGTAAGAACCCTTCTAGGCAGAGCCTAGGTAGGGGAAAACCTTTGAGAAAAGTTCCCGATTTGGCTTTTTCCTGCCCTGCTGGCGGTCTTCTTGTGGCCCTCTTGGGCCTTCATAAGGGGCCTCTTGAGCCAGCTTGGGGTCATCTTGGGCCATCTTGGCGGCTTTGGTTGCCTGCTTCGGCCGTCTTGGAAACTCGGGAGCGCGGATTTTTCTTGTTTCGTTTTGCTCTTTTGGTTCGTTGATTTTTTCTTTCGGTTGCGAGGGATCTTGGCCTCGGCAGCGCGGATCCAGTGTCTTTAACGAGGGATCATGGCCTCGGGACTGCGGATTCATTGTCTGTCGACCAGTGACCGTGGCTTCGGGAGTGCGCATCCAGTGTTTGTTTACCAGTGATCGTGGTCTCGGGAGTGCGGACCCTTTTTTTGTACGAGGTGTCGTGGCCTCGGGAGCGAGCATCCAGTGTTTTACAAGATGGAGGGTGGCCAATGCTCGGAGGCCTTCTCAGAAGGCGACGGGACTTCTCAGAAGCCCTCGCGCCTTCTGATAACGTTTCAATGCCTCTGGGAAAGGCTTGGAAAACTTCTCAAAAAGGCCGGGGGACTTTCGAGCTTTTGAGAAGGCCCGTCCCAGAGGAGGAGGGATGAGGAAGGAGGGGGAATTTGATGGACAACATTTATTCTTAAACCTGTGGGGTGCACTGGGTGGGGGGGGGAGAAGGGTGACGACGACGAGGAGGAGGAGGAGGAGGAGGAGGAGGAGGAGGGGGATGAAAATGAGGAGGAGGAGGAGGTGGAGGAGGAGTAGGATGATGATGATGATGAGGAGGAGGAGGAGGAGGAGGAGGAGGAGGAGGGGGAGGAGGAGGAGGAGGAGGAAGGGCCAACCCTGCCCCGGCCCGCCCTCCCCTAGTGGGCCCCGCCCGAATTCCGAAAACGCATCCCTGGAACGATGCTTCGATGCTTCCTTTCTGATGGCCGCGGCCACCGTGCCCAGCGGAGAGAGGCGCACGCCCGTTGGGTTCTGGGCACGAGGGCGCGACGCCGACCGCCGCGAGAACAAGCCGCTGAGCTCCGGCAGGGTGCCGTGCATCAAAGCACCAGGCGGCAGTAATGCCCTTTTGATGCTTTTTTATTCAGTGTTTTCCCGATCGGCGCGGGCTCTCGCACCCCTCCTCCCCCCCCGTGGAGTAGATCTTTGCTGTCTGTGGCGCCTGTTTCAGGCAGGTGGAGTCTCCCCCACAGGATGCAATGTTGCAAACGGTCGCATCAAGCAGAGGTCCAGAGCCAGACCCCCCTCTCCCCCCCCCTTCCGCCCAATGTCGAAACGCCGAATAAGAAACGTTGTTCGGCGCGATTGTTCCTGCAATGCGGACGCTAATGGGGTTGCACCTACATGCTGTCGGAGGTTGGGGGGTGAGATCGAAGTGGAACGGAGAGCCCCCCTACCGGGAAATCGATTTCGGTTTCGTGTTCGTGCGTGCCGTGCGGGCGAGGCGAAGCTGCGTGGGCGGGCGAGAGAAAGTCTCCTGTGGCTGAGGCGCGGCCGGACCAAATGTCTCCCTTCCGGGCGGCCGGGGGCCCGCGGTGTCCCGCCGGTGTCCCGCTGGTGTCCCGTGTGGCTGAGGCGCGGCCGGACAAATGACTCCCTTCCGGGCGGCCGGGGGCCCGCGGTGTCCCGCCGGTGTCCCGTCGGTGCCCCGTCGGTGTCCCGATAATGATGATGTTGATGATGATCATGATGGTTGTGTTGATGGTGATGATGATGACGATGATGGTGTCCTGGTGATGATGATGATGATGATGATGATGTTGATGATGATGACGAGATGACGATGATCTTGATGTTCTGCCCGTTGTTGTTGATGATGTTGGTAATGCTGATGCTGCTGATGATGATTATGGTATCCCGATGATGATGATTATGACGGTGGTGATGATGATGGTGATGGTGATGGTGTACCGATGATGATATTGATGATGATGTTGGTGATGATGCTGCTGCTGATGATGATGGTGTCCCGATGATGTTGATGATGCTTTTGATGATGATGATGATGATGATGATGATGATGATGATGATGATGATAATGAGATGATGATGATGATGATGATGATGGTGTCCCGATGTTGTTGATGATGGTGACGATGACAACGATGGTGACCATGATGGTGACCCGATGATGATGATGATGATGATGATGCTGATGGTGATGATGACGACGGCTGTGTCCCGCTGGTGATGTTGATGATGTTGTTGATGATGATGAGATGACGATGATGTTGATGTTTCTGCCCGTTGTTGTTGATGATGATGTTGGTAATGATGATGCTGCTGATGATGATTATGGTATCCCGATGATGATGATGATTATGACGGTGGTGATGATGATGGTGATGGTGATGGTGTGCCGATGATGATATTGATGATGATGTTGGTGACGAGGATGCTGCTGATGATGATGGTGTCCCGATGATGTTGATGATGCTGTTGATGATGATGATGATGATGATGATGATGATGATGATGATGATGATGATGATAATGAGCTGATGATGATGATGGTGTCCCGATGTTGTTGATGATGTTGACGATGACAATGATGGTGACCATGATGGTGTCCCGATGATGATGATGATGATGCTGATGGTGATGATGCCGAAGGCTGTGTGCCGATGATGATGATGATGATGATGATGCTGATGATGATGATGATGATGTAACTGACTATGATGTGATGGTGATGGGGATGATGATGATGATGATGATGATGATGATGATGATGATGGCCTGATGATGATGGCGTTGATGATGATGACGATGATGATGATGATGATGACGACAGTGTCCCGATGACGATGATAATGCTGGTGTTGGTGATGATGATGATGATGATGATGATGATGATGACGTTGAATGTTAGATCGATTGTGATATCGGTAGTGAGATCGATAGTGAGACCGAATGTGAGATCGATTGTGAGATCGATAATCAGATCAATTGTGAGACCGAGCGAATGAGATATATCGAGTGAGATCGATTGTGAGATCGATCGAGTGAGATCGATCGAGCGAGACCGATAGTGAGATGGATAGTGAGACCGATCGAGTGAGACGCTGCATCCTCCCCCCCCCGAACCTCCTTATCACCCGAAGGGTGGTCGTATAGGTTTATCATGGCAATCATGGCAATGGCGTGGTGATGTTCGTGCTGAGTGCTATGAGGAGTATGATGGCGATGATGCTGATGACTGTGCCATTGCAGTACTTTGTGCGTGGCGACGCTTCGAGCACCGCCCAGCATGCTTGACATGTGACGCCTCTCGTCTGTATTCTTTGAGGGATCCTCATGTGGTGGCTGCCGTGTTCACGGGTGCTCTGCGGCAAGGTGGGGAGCCTTTTCGGGTTCCGTTTGGGATCCTCTCGGATCGCCTCTTGAGATCCCCTGGGGCCGTCCCGGTGCCGTATTGGGCCTCTCTTGGCCGTGTGGCTCTGTTGTGGGCCTCTCGTGGTCCTCTTGGGGCCTCTCGGGCTGTCCCGGGGCCCCTTCTGGGCTGCCGTGCGACCCTTTTTGGGGCTGCCCGGGGCCGTCTGGGGCCCTGGAGTTTCTCCTCGGACTGTTTCGGTTTGTCTTTGCCTCCTCCGAGGCCCTCTTTGAACCATCTTAGGCCGAGGGGCCCATCAAACGCAGAAGGTTCAAACGTCTCATGATTTACTTTGGCTTTTTAGTGATTGTGGCCTTGCCGGGGTGCCTCCTGGCCTTGTCCCTGACGTCTTGGGAGCCTCTTGGGCCTCCGTGCGCGCCTCCTGGAGTCTCCTTGAGGGCTGCGGGCAACAACCCGAGACTGAAGCACTTGGCATTCCAACACGCCTCAGCGCGCCAGGGTTAGGTCGGGCCTGTCCCTCTGCAGGAGGAATGTTCAAAAATAGTCAACAAACTTGTCTGGGGACGATTCTTTGATTATTTTTGCCCATTTGGGGGGCATTTTTGGTGTATTTTTTAATTTTTGGCCCACAATCCCCCTGGAGGGGGGCACGCCCGACTTAACGCCGGGGCGCACGATGGCGGACCTTCGTTGTCATGGTGCACCCATCGATGATCACCCTGTTCGTATGACGAGGTCGGGGCGGCCACCTGCGAGGTCGAGGGGCGGTT